TTGTCCACCAGCACTCCCAGGTCCTTCTCAGCAGAGCTGCTTTCCAGCAGGTCAACCCCCAGCCTGTACTGGGGCATGGGGTTATTCCTGCCTAGGTGCAGGACCCTGCACTCGCCTTTGTGGAACTTCGTGAGCTTCTTCTCTGCCCAGCTCTCCAGCCTGTCCACAGCACAGCCCCCTGGTGTGTCAGCCACTCCCCCCAGTTTAGTATCCTCAGCAAACTTGCTGAGGGTGCACTCTGTCCCTTCCTCCAGGTCATTGATGAATACATTGAACAAGACTGGACTCAGTACTGACCCGTAGGGGACACTGCTAGCTACAGGCCTCCCACTAGGCTCTGCCACTGACCACAACCCTCCAAGCTCTGCCATCAGAGCTCTGCTATCCATCCAGTTCTCAGTCTGCCTTGCTGTCCACTCATTTAATCCACACTTCCTGAGCTTACCTATGAGGATGTGATGGGAGACAGTGTCAAAAGCCTTGCTGAAGTCCAGGGAGACAACAGACTAACTACAAATCTAATTAAATTTGACATAAGTAGCAGCTCAACCTACAATTAGCAATTAGGTAACTAAAGCTTGAAAAAAAATAGCACTGTTGCAGTATATGCAAGACTGTCAGAATGACATGGACTTAGAAAGTACATTGAGTAAAGAGATGGTGTTTCTGCTTAGAAGTAAATCTATGGAATAAAACAGTCCTGGAAAGGTACGAGTAAGAATAAAGTACATTCAGAGCAGAAAAGCATATTAAGAGCTACAAGAAGAGTTTGTTTTGCAAGCTTTACTTTCACAAAATTACACCTGGTACAGAGTTTGAACAGATATGTTAAGAGAAAACTCTTGCAGTTACTGTATGCTTAAGAAAGCTTTTCCCATGTTAGAAAAAAAAAGTTGCTCTATAGAAAGCAGTGTCTGTGTAGTTTAGTAAATAACATGGCATATTCTATAGGCCTCTGACTTCTGTTTGAGGTCTACGATGTGGGTACCAGAATGCCTGTTTGCAGTCAGATTACACATTGAAACAAGAGCATGCTTTCAAGTTTGCTATTATAAGGACATTTTGAGTACTACTATTCCTTTGAGAGCCAACTTTTAAACAACTTGTCATACAAGTATTCTACCACTGAACTGCAATAGAGAGACTCAAATATACATTTTGTGGTTTTATCTGCATTACTTTACAGAGATTGTCCATTAAATATAGAACTTCTGTTCATCATCCTGTAACAGGTACAGTAATATTAAAGACACTGGAATTTTTAATTTCAGATCCTACAATAACATATTAAATAAGGATCAAGTTCAGCTCAAATGTTAACTTACACTAGAGATAAAAGCTGTCACAATCTACTATAAGTCAAGAGCTTCCTGAGTTCTTCTATGTATTGCCAATCCTTAGTTTCACAGTACAGAGATCGCCAATAAACACATTCATAGCTCAGGTGAACAGTACCAAGAAGTTTGGAATTTTAACTGTAAACTAGAAATCCTCTTCCAAGTTACGACAAATTTGTATCCCCCAAAGAGCTATTAAAAGCTTACTAAATAAAGCATATAACTTCCATAACTAAAATTGTTGCAACCTCAGTTACCCAGATTTTTTTTTTTTACCTGATTCATCAGAAAAATGCTAGAATAGGACTTAAGGCAGAGACATGTTTTAACTTTAGAAGTCATGAGCATTTTGCATTAAACTGCTGGAAAAATTAGTACGGCTTTAGAATAGTAAGTGAAATGAAAACAAATATTAAATGTAGGATTTTTCCCCCCCCACTACCTTAAAACCTACATAAAGTCTAGTGACATTAGGCAATTACAGAAGACCTGAAGGAAAATTGTATTAACTTATAATAAAAAAACCTTAGAGATTAAGTACGACTCACATCGAAAGGAATGTAATGAGACTGAAGGTTTTAATATCTAGCATCGTTAAGAAACTGACTTCTAGTGAAACAAAAATGGAATGCTGATTTCGTAAAAATATATACACATATATAAAAGTTATCTGAATTCCAGAACAGTTTCTCCAAAGTAGTGCTTCTAGAAGTTTCAAGTTTTAATTATATTCAAAATATTTATCATTTGATTAACATGGCAAATTACATTCTTATATTAGTATATATTTACTTGACACTTTCCTAAACAGGAAGTGTCACTAATTCAATATTGGGTCACTCATGAGTGGAAGTTTTTCTTATGCTCCCCTTCGCTCCCCCGAGAAAGCAACAGAGTATTACAACTTTTAATATTAGAGTGGAACCCATTTGTTATTTTATCTACCACACCTTTCCAACCCTCTTAAAGAGCAAGCTAATCAAAAGTAATTTGGAAAAAAAAAAGTCAGTCAACAACAAGATGAACTGGGTTTCGGTTTCCGATGAAGGTTTACTGTATCTGTCTGAATAAAGTGATCTGATCTATCTTCAGAGGCTAGAACTCTTCTGACAGCTTCTTCAAAGGCTGCTGCAACATTTGTGGCATCTTTTGCACTGGTTTCAAAATAGGGATGGTTGCCATTATTCCTGCACCAGGCTTGGGCTTCTTCTGTAGACACTTGCCTTTCATTAATATCAACTTTGTTACCCAGTATCACAAATGGAAAACTTTCAGGCTCCTTAACATCTGCATAATAAATGAATTCTTTCTTCCAGTTGCTTAAATTTTGGAAACTTTGAGAGTCATCCACACTGAAAGTAAGCAGGCAACAGTCAGAACCTCTATAGAAAGGAGTCCGCAAGCTTCTAAAACGTTCTTGACCAGCTGTGTCCCATATCTGCATTGTAACAAAATGTCCATCCACTTCCAAATCTTTATTTAAGAATTCCACACCTATTGTATGAAACAGCTGTGCATCAAACTTGTTAGTGACATATCTGTTCATAAGCGAACTCTTCCCAACTCCGCCATCTCCCAGTAGTATAACTTTAAGGAGTGATGATTTTGCTGCCATTGTTACAGGAACGGATCCTCCTGGTTTTCTAGACCTGCAAAGTTTAAGAAAACTGTTGAAAAGGGGAGTTGTGAAAGAAAGAATGAATAGAAAAATTTAAACACACATACACACGCAAGTATCTAGGAAAGTGTTAATTAAAATCCACCAACATCAAGTGTCATGTATAAAAATATGCAGACTATACTAAATAGTTAAGGCGTAGATACTTATAGCAAGAATACCTCATTGACAGTACCAAGTGTTTAAGGGGTGTCTCTTCCACAGACTGCAGCCTGCATGGCAGTAGAAGCAGTACATTTGCATGAATTACTGGTCTGTCACTTAAAACACTTGTCCCCGTAAATCTGAAGGTCTTAAGTTACAGTGTAAGCCTCCAAAGTTTGTGCAGAACAGATCAAATTAGATGACTACAATGACTCATTTACGTTCACTGAAAAAAGTGTCGAAGAAGGAGGAGCGAGAGGATTCTGTAGAGCGCATGCCTTTATAACTAGTCACTTCGGTCCATATTTCATTGGCAAAGTTACTTTTTTAATTTATGAAAGTTAAAAGGAAGCTTTAGGAATAAAGCAGGACACTAGCTGTTATGCTGTAACTACTGCTGCACTTTACCCAAAATTGCAACCAGATAAGCTCCCAAGGAATACAATAGTCTACAGACCAAACGTGAATGCCATAACTTCATAATTTATGTGGCTAACTTGTTTTGTTAGACAGTATTGGTACACAAACATTCAACGTTACACAGCATACTCCATATAAAACAGTGATGCTGAAGGAAATACTTCAATTACAATTACTACAAAAGCAAATTCACTGCTGCTGCTTTAAATGATACTCAAGAAAAACACCTAACACTGAGGCCAAGTCTACACCAACAGCTCAGTTAATTGTTCAACATTTCCCCTAGAATAAGTCAAAAAGCTTCAAAGTGCTGGTAAAGAGTCTGGCTGCCAGTACAGAGATTGTAAATTAGTGGCAACAGTGACTTTTTTTTTTTTAAAAAACTACAGTCTGACAGTTTTATTTGATGATTTCTTTCTTTTTTTTTTTTTTATAAAGTTAGTTCATTAGTATTTTTGCTAGCCCAGGGTTTGTCCTCGTTACACTAGCAGTTTTCCAGTACTACTGTAATAATAGAAAAATAAAGTGTTTTAATTGCTGGGGGTAAAGTTTCATTTTGAAGAGCCCAAACTTAAGTTTTCGTATGAGAAGAACTGCTGTTTCAATATCTGCCTGACACTGATAGAGCTCAAATTAATTCAGTAAAAATAGGCTTCCATTAAAACAGTGCCTATTTAAAATAGAAACAGGTCATTAGTAGCTTGGTTCATCTCCTTCTCTGAAGGAAGGAATGTGGTCTTGCTAGTTACTAGTATATACACCACCTGCAGAGTATGGCTATGGAATTAATACCCAATACAAACTGGCATATGAATCATATGATTGTGTGCAGCCTTAGAATCAAGGCCTACATTAGAAACCGAGAATTTCTGGAATTCATCTCCAGCTTTCCATCACTGAATATTTGTTAGACACAATCTACAGTAAGACATTTGTGAGAAATGCTCTACAGTTTAAGAGTACCTGAAGCTTCAACAAAGAAATTTCAATATAAGAAACAGTGACTGCTTCTAATAAAAATGTTCAGAACAAATTTATTCATTCTTGTACTGCAGAATTAAAAACAATGTTTATAAATCTTTTAACATTTGTACAAAGCTCACATCACAACAATATTTTAAAGACTGCTAAAGATCTACAAGTAGATTGTTTAGTTACCTTTCACAAAGCTGTGGGATAATTGTTATGGCTCATGATATGAGCACATACTTTTTTTTTTTTTTTTTTAAATGTGAACAACAGCCTTAGAGTCACTGGACTATTTGCATGTGTTTTCCAGGTTCATGCTGAAAGTCTTTAAAATGCTCCAGTGTCCCCATTTATCTTCTTAATTCCTACTATTAGTTAAGGAATAAGTTATTTGAGCTACTCCATTATATAGTAACAACTTTTTATTAAATAATGTGTTTCTGAGAACAGAGGATACCAAATATGAACTGTTTTTCCATTTCAGTGGATGGAAAAGATTTTTCCCTGTTCTATTGAAATCACAGCTTCCCTAAAAGACAAAAATGTGAATAAGTAACTGACTTACATTGTTCAGACTGGTACTGTACACTTGTTTCTTTGGCTTCTACAATTTTAAAATGGTCTAAGTGCAATTCTTTAACAGCCACATTTTAAACAAATCAGAAGTAAGGAAACCGTTAAACAATATCTAGTATTTGTGTGCATCTGGAACTGGAAGAGTCAACTTTAACAATTTAAGCTACATGGAATATTACAGTGAGGTCTAGAAGACTGATGACCACAAAAATACTTTCACCAGATAGACAGTTACTCTGTACAGCTGCATAAACTATTACAAGTATGTGTCAGACTAGAACCAAACTGCTGCAACTTTAACACAAGGGCTATAGAAGCAGTCTTCACAGTACTGATAAGCAAGTATCTCAATATGTTGCAAGCAACATCACTTTCCAGTACATTCAGCTTCCACAAGTAGAAGCTGTCATACTCAACCAGCACTTCATATTTTTATAGTTTTTACTTTGAAATAAGTAGGATGTATGTTCAGTTCTTTAAGTATGTGCTTAGAAGCCTCACCTGAAGCTGCACAGAAGCATATTTAAAGGCAAACTTAAGTGTGTATGTTTTGAAGCAGCAAAAACTTTATACAACTACAAACAGCTTTGTTGACTATATAACCAACTCTTACCTGTATTTAACTTTAATCCTTTGTGGCCCCACTGACTGATTACATGATTTAGAGTATCTGCAGGATCAGGATGATAGTTTTCAACACAAGAGGCTTCTGCATTC